GACGCTAAACACGAGATTGCATCGGCGTGGCTGTTTTCTGACCTGGGGATCTGCTGAATCTCGTAAGCCTGGAACCTTTGTAGGAGTTGGTGGGCTGCCGATAGGTAGGAGGACATGGAGGCATCCTTTGCTGCGAAGTTTGCCGTTATTTGATTCACTATGAGCTGGGAGTCACTATGGATGCTGATTTGTTTGGCGCTCATGCTCTTGGCTAGCCGAATGCCGGCCAATAGAGCCTCATACTCCGCCTTGTTGTTAGAGGTTCTGAAGTTGAATCGGAGGGCATATTCGACTTTGCACCCGTCTGGAGTAGTTAACACCAAACCAGCTCCACAACCCTGTTGGTTCGCCGAGCCGTCAACATGTAGGATCCATAGAGGTACCGAAAGATCAAATCGATTGGCATCCATGTTTCCTCGTTCTGTAATAACAGCGTTCGGAGAGGGTGCATCCGAAGGTGCGGGTGTGAGCTCGGGGATGAAGTCGGCGACAACTTGACCCTTCTCTGCAGGCCTTGGCTTGAACTGTATGTCAAATTCTCTGAGCTCGATCGCCCACTTGACCAACCTGCCGGACGTTTCTGGTTTTTGAAGTACCTGCCGAAGGGTCTGATTGGTTAGTGCCGTGATCTCGTGTGCTTGGAAGTATGGGCGGAGCCTTCGCGCCGAGACAACAAGGGCAAGTGCCAGCTGCTCCAAGGGTGGGTACCGAAGTTCCGCCCTTTGAAGAGCCTTCCTGACATAAAAAATTGGAAGCTCTGCTTTCTCTGGTTTCCGTATCGATACCGAGCTAACAGCAGTACTTGATACCGAAAGCTAGAGGAGGAGAACTTCCCCGAGAAGCGGTTTTGACAACAATGGTGCCCTGCTCATGTAGTTCTTCAAGTCTTGAAATGCCTAGTCGCATTCAGGAGTTCATGCGATATGATGTTTGCCCCCTTTCAAGGCTTTGAAGAACGGTACGCACTTATCGGTAGCCTTCGAGATGAAGTGTGTCAGGGCAGCGACACGTCCGGTAAGGCTTTGAATGTACTTCTGCGTCTTCGGCGTTTCCATGTCGATTATGGCTTTGATTTTCTCGGGATTGGCCTCGATTCCTCTTTAGCTGATCATGAATATGAGAAATTTACCGGAAGATACACCGAAGGCGCACTTCATTAGGTTCAGCCTTATTCGGCAGTCCTTTAGTATATCGAACATGAGGGCTAGGTTTTCCAAATGCCCCCATGTCGTTCGGCTTTTCACCAACATGTCGTCGACATATACTTCCATAATGCCGCCGATGTGTTCAGCAAAAATTCGATTGACGAGCCGTTGATACGTTGCCCCCGCGTTTTTCAGGCCGAAAGGCATGACATTGTAACAGTACAACCCGCGGTCGGTGATGAACGTCGTATGCTCGCTATCGGTAGGGTCCATGAAGATCTGGTTATACCCTGAATAGGCGTCCATGAAGCTAAGCAGCTCGTGTCCAGCGGTTGCGTCAACGAGCTGGTCGATTCTCGGTAAGGGGAAACTGTCCTTCGGACATGCCTTATTCAGGTCGGTATAGTCCTGACACATTCGTCATCCTCCTTTGGTCTTCCGAACCATGACTGAGTTGGCAAGCCAGACAGGGTACGTAGCTTCCCTGATAAAGCCGATGGCTTTGAGCTTGCCAACTTCGGTACGCATAGCCTCGTATCGTTCGGCATCATATGAACGACGCTTTTGCCTGACTGGTTTATGGGCAGGGGAGATGCTGAGCTTGTGGCTGATGACGTCAGGTGATATGCTGGGCATATCGTCGTAAGACCAGGCGAAGACCTCCGCCTGTTGCCGTAAGAAGTCGATGAACTGCCTCCGGAGGTCGGGATCTAGGTTGGTGCCGATTTTTACCCACCGATCGGGAAAATCCTCGTTTAGGACCACAGTTTCGAGCTCTTCGGCAGGCTGTGCCACCGGCGTTGGCGTTTCCTCTCTTGGGTCATCTATAGGCCCGCTACCGTTCGGTAGTCCCTGCACGGACATGGCTTCCATTGGCGGCTTGCAATCTACCGATTTAAGAGTAGTGGCATAGCACGTCCGTGCGGTGAGCTGGTCACCCCGGATGACGCCTGTATCGTTGCGGGTAGGGAATTTCATCAGCAACATATGGGGGGACAAGTGGGCTTTGACCCTGGTGAGTGCCGTTCACCCTATGATGACGTTATATGCCGTTGGGCAGTCGACAATGAGGAATTGGTCGTAGGTCATTGTTTTCCTGGGGGCGACGCCGATGGCGATGGGCAGACTGATATTGCCGACTAGCTAGACCAGATCCCCATAAAAACTGAGGAAGGGCGTTATTTGCCAATTGACCATATTGTCGGCAATCCCCAGTCCTTTGAATGCATCGGCAAAAATCATGTTCACCAAACTCCCGGTGTCAATCAGCACCCGACCTACATCGTAGTCGGCGATCTCAGCCCGAATGAAGAAGGGCTCCCATCCCACTTTCGTGACCTTGCGGCACCGATCGTCTTCTATGCCAAAGACCTGGGGGTAGTAAGCGGCACACACATATTGTTTTATTGAACGGTTAGAGGGTCCTGCTAGAGTGGGGCCTCCGTTGATCGTGCTGATCATGTTGATCCACCGATTGGCGTTTGGGGCAGGCGCCTGCTGCGGCCTGGCGATGTATTGATCCAGTTTTCCCTCCCGAATCAGCCGTTCAACGATCTTCCTCAAACTAATGCAGTCTTCGGTGTTGTGGCTGTTTTATTGGTGGTACCGACAGAATTTGCCGGTATCCCGATTATCCTGCCGATTGGGCTTTCGGTGGTTTGGCTTTGGGATTTGGTTATGCTCGTTCATTAAGACGGCTTCATATGTCGTGTTCAGTAGGGTGAAGACTTCCTTAGCGCGGTCGTGATTCGGCAGCGGTGCTCGGTGGTCGTTGCGTCCGTATTTCCCACGCCCCTTCTTTCAGTTACCCTGTCGATGATCACGATCATCCTTCTGCTTGTGGCCTGCCGATGAATCGTCAGTCCTTCCGGGATAGCTCTTCGTTGTTGATTTCTCTTGCCTAGCCGAAGGCTCGGGCTTGGAATTGAAGTATTCGGCCTTGGCATGGACCGCCGCCTGCTTCATCAGCTCGTCATAAGTGCGCCAGTTGCTACTGTGTACCAGGTACCGAAAGTGAGAGGACCGAAGGCCACTCTTGAAAGCGTCGTAGGCTGCCTATCGTCCGTCTTCGGGCACCTCGAGTACTCATGACTGAAGCGTGCGGCATATTCTCGTAGGGGTTCATCTTCTCTCTGCCGAACCATGTACAGGTCGTCGACAGAGTACAGACGGTCCGTCTGGATCATGAAATGATTCAGAAAAATCTGCTTTAGCTCGTCGAACGAGTCTACCGTTCCTAGTTCAAGACGGTAGAACCAATTTAGAGCAGCTCCGGTAAGGGAAGATGGGAATAGCATGCATTGTCCCTCGTCACTGAGGCCCTTGCATCCAACTGCCGATTGGAAGGAATGAAGGTGCGTTAAGGGGTCTTCCACGCCGGTGTAGAACGGTATGCGCAACGGTTGTACTTCCCTGTTCGGTCTGGACTTCTTGATGCGCTCGGTAAAGGGTCCTGGCCGAAGTTTCCCCCAATCAGGCTCCTGAGACCGGGTTAGGTCGTCCTCCATCTTCTGGATTCTCTGGAAGAGTAGACGGATTGCCGAGTCTCAGCTCGGGATCTCCTCAGAAATATAGTCTTCGGATGTTCTCACCGGACTCGGTTCTCTTGCCTTCAAAAACTTCGTGGGAGTTTCCGAACGGTAGTGTGACTCGGTGCCCTTGGAGGGGGCATACTCGTCATCAGATTTTGCCTCTGACCCCAAACCATGGACTTTTTTGAGGGGCGATTTGTCTCCAAGGACCCTCATCCGTGAGTCCCATAAGTTTGCGTTGATCCTGGCTGGGGACCTCTGCCGTTCGACATCCATGTCGTTGAGCCGATGGCGACAGTCGGCGTAGACTTTCTTTGGTATATGGGGCTGGTCCCGAGGGGCTGGGACTACCAGCTGTTTGGAAGGCGTAGGGGTTGCCTTTGCCCCCTTTTTCCCTTTCTTCTGTCGACCAGGGGTCTGTAGACTTTGGGAAGGTTCTGTAGATTGAATATTCTGCGTTTCCTACTGATTAAGCAGTCGCTGAGTTTCGTCTACTTTGGATGTGAGAAGGTTGTTATGTTTGGAGCTTGTCCATTTTTTTCCGAAGGGAAATCATTTGAACCAAGAGCTCAGCTTCCGTCGTAGTCTGAATTACCGGAGGGTTACCGAAGGGAGTACTAGGGTGCAGCGCGGGGCTTACCCCGCTTGGCATTCTGTACGGTAGTCCGTCCTCGGGTAAGAACGATAGTCCTGAAGTGGTTCCCATGTGTTTTTTAGGAATTGTAGGTTGATTATTATCGTTTCCCACAGACGGCGCCAAACTGTTGGCGCAGAAAAATGGTTTGGCACTTTCCCGCGCAACTTAGAGATATTTGGGCCTTCGGTATGCTCTGGGCCTCGGTAGGGCGTTCGATATGCAAAATAGGGAACGCTCGGTAAGACCTAGGGCACCGGTGTGGTACGAATTTAGTAAGTTTGAACTACAGATCAATAGGCAGTATGCCGTGAGTTCTTATTGATTACCTCCAAACTGGGATGGTTGCCCTCTTTTATAGGCCTTGGGAGGTGTGCAATTTATTTAGAGTTTCGATGTGGGACTCTGGGCATCAATTGTGAGATTGCCATGTGTCCCTGGGAGTGAGGTTGCCCTAATCGTACGATCGGTAGGCGTGATACTGAAGCTAGGTGCCAAAGGATCCCATAGCTCTAGTTTGGTCCACGTGTCCGATGTTCATTGGCTGTTCATTTTGGTATAAACAAGATATATCGAAGAGTGAATATTTTGAAAATGGGTCATGCTAATTGAGACTAAATATATAAATCATATTGTGTATTATCTTTCTAGTAAATGTGAAACCTACTAATACAATGTCCCTTTAACATTTTCCTTAGAAAGTAAAGTTGTGCATATATGCATGATACTACCACTAGCCGCATCCGAATAATTGCACCTCCTCCATTAATTCATTATGCACATATAAAAATAAATAAATAAGAATAATTCACTTACAAACATTTTTTATTTAGCTCAAAGGAGTATGGTTGTCGGTGGGGACGATGATTGTTAATTTTAGGTCTTAAATTGTTTTCACACAACCTATTTACTTTAAAATCTTTATATATAAAAAGGTAGGATCTTCGCATAAGTCAAAGAAGGATCAATTGACGTGCAAGAAATGCGCAAGTTGCAAGAAGCAGAAGTTAATATTTAATGGTTTAAGCAAACAAGGTCTAATCTAATGAGAAATGACATTGATCTGTAAACTAGATTAAATTTTAATGAGATGACGTATTCAGGAAAGAAATCAAGCAGATTATGATAAAGAAAATCCAAACAAAAGATCCGGATTCTAGTTATTAAACCTGGAGGCACGATTGCAAACAAGAAAAATGAATGAAAGCATGTTGAAAAATAGATAGCGTCTACAGAACATAAAATATAGCACAAGGCTCAAGATTTTCCATGAAGTCAGTACTGTATCTACAGTCTACTGCAATGATGTTGCTCATCGCTTGGCTTAAGTTTCTCTTTCTGTTGATGGTTTGGTTGACTGGAATGAGTGGCCCCATGCTATCATCAGGATGCCCTCTTAAATGATTGTAATTTGCTCTAGTTTCTTTAATGAATTTCGTTCTTTTCAAAAAAATAAAATAAAAAATACCTTCACTTTATGAAAAAAGACCATGACAATTCGGTAACACAACACAAAACCAACTATTATTCAATAAAAGACAAGTCTCCAGAGCACACGAGGATCGGAAGTTTTCAACTTGAAAAATCTGGAAATGACAACTCAATCGGATACTATATTAATTAGGATTAGGAGAATACTAACAATTTTCTTTCAAAAAAAATAATAATTAGAGAATTATTATTTTTAATAACTACATCACATTACCACGACGGTAATTGTCGTTAGAGAATTAATTCTCCACTATGAAACAAGAACCGAACAAACGAATACAATTAACGTATTTGAAGCCAGCTGAATGTGTGCTTCTTGGTCCCCGGCAAGGCACAATTGGATTGCTTTTATTGTGACACCAAATCATTGCACCTTGACTAAACCCTGCTACATTTATCAGCACCTGTATAAAGAGGGGGATTAGATTTGAGGTTGTAAAACTTTTGTTTGCTTAAATTTCACAATAAAAATAAAATCCGCATATGAATTTAATTATTTAAGAAAAGGAGAGGGTTGGAAAATAAAATCCGCATATTGCAGAGGGATTGATGTATGCATACAATAACAATAGGGCATGCAGTTAATTATAACGTGCTGCAGACATGAACTAGATACAGAGGACTAACTTTATCGTGGAGTTAACTTACTCGCTTAATTTCTGACCTTGAGATTTGCTCCAAAATATGCCTTCCTCATTTATGTCCTTTTTAATCTCCAAGTACAACAGATGAGGAAACTGATCCTCCACCTTTGGAAGTTCTATTTTCATATTACTCAAGTACTTGAGACGCAAGATTTCCACCCTCCACTTACACGCAGTGACAGTCTCCTCCCCTGCATGGTCCAGGCTACAATGTTCCCCGCCTCTTATATAGAGCTTCTTTAAATTTTTCAGTTGCCTCGGGTTCAGCCATGATGGTACTTCTTTCAGAGGGATGCCTTGAAGATCCAATTTTTCTAAATCTGGTGGGAACGAGAAATCCCGGGACTGGAGGGAAATCTTTTCTTTCAACTCTGAAGAAACCACTGCCCATGATATTTTGAGGCGGCGAAGAGATGAAATTTCCTTCAAAGTTTCAAACTCGTTGTCATGCATTACGGCCTCATTCCCTATGTATATACTTAGCCGCCTTAGTTTCTTCAACTTGGCAAGATCACCGAGTCTTGAGGGAGTATTTTTCAAATTGGCTATGAGAAAACCTTTAAGTACTTGGAGGGAAGAGAGTTTGCCAATCCCTTTTGGCATGCCTTCTAGCAAGTAACACTCTGATATATCCAAATGAGTGAGCTTCCTCAACGATGAGATATCTGAAGGCAATGTCTCTAAATTGTGGCATGCTCTCAGATCCAGAATTTCAAGGCTGATGATGTTAAAGATACAAGAAGGGATCCGTGTTATTCCTGATATTCCTCGGAGACTAAGATACTTGAAGCTCAAGTAATGCTGAGCCCCAATACCTTTCAAAAATAATCCTTCATCATCCACTTCAATGTGATGCATGGGTGAGCTCTGCCACCGTCCCAGCTGAAGAACAACAACTTTCTTCAACTTGCTAAGCCATTGACGTTTGATGCTAAGATAGTTGCTGTTCACATTGAATACTGTAAACAGATCTTCCTCACCCGGAGAAGTCTGGTTCTGATCAAAAACTAAGCACGCGCGCCTGCACAATGATACTTGACATGATGGCATCCAAGGCCAGTCTGAATCAAAGTGGAAGAGCAGAGCGTCCCTGGCCAAGCCTATCAGCATACAACGAATCCAAGGGTGCAGCGTGCAACTAGTGGATAAATTAACATTTCCATGTGGTTGAATCAAGCCCTGTTTCATGAGTTTGCCAAAGATTTCTTCTCCTACCTCTTCGACTGTCTTATCTTGTGTTAGTACGAAATTCGTATTGACATTTCCTAGACTTTAGTATAGGGTGAAAATTAGTTTGTGAGGAATTGTTATTGAAGGCTTTGTCACTACTCTTTCAACCCCACACTTCCGAGGCATGCCCTGACCATATGAGAATCTTGACCTCAGGTAAATCATGACATAATCACGCATTCATTATAGGATTCCTAGTTGGAGTTATTTTCACTCAAGTATTTTTATGTTAATCTTATTTCTAATAAGATTAGATTTTATCTCTTGAGATTACTTTCCTAGTTCAACTCTATTTTAATTGAAGTTAAAATATTATCTTTTCCTATTGTGACTTTGCACGTTGCTTACCTCTTAGTTAATTTGGTTTAAAGAGAGGCGTCATTACTTTGAGTCCAAGGTGAATCAAATCTCTTATTGATGATAGGTTGTGGTGCAATAGGAAGTTTAATATTCGTGGCCTATTGGGTTTCTCTCCCATGAGAGAGAACAAGTCTTGTATAAAAGATCATGTGCCATTCTTTTATGGGGCACAGCTTTGAGATATTTGTTTTGAGCATATAGAATTCTAAGAAAAGCTGTTGTGCGTATATTTGAGATAAATCATCAAGTGTTCAATGTTTACTTGGTGATTTATCAAACACTTTAATCATTCATACTGCATTCATATGCATGTCGGTGACTCATACGGTTGAGGGCACCAAGACCGTGGTGGCGGTTTTCCTCCGGTGAGCTTGAAGCAATCGTGGCCAGTATTGCGTTCAACATAAGGAGTGTCGAAGATCATCCCGTGACAGAAGTTGAGTTACGAAGAAGTCGGTAAACATTATCTAGAATGTGTCTAGGATAAGTGTGTGAGTACTTCTTGTAATCATCGTTCTATAGTGGATTTGTGTTGGACTGAGGAGTCCCGTGGATTTTCCCCAGAGGTGGGGTTTTACCACGTAAAATAATTCTCTGCGTGTTCTTTTATTTTCTGCCCAGCACGTTACAGGATTGATAAGCCATATCAATCCTGCTACCGAAGTTTATTTTTATTTATTTGATTAGAATCTTAAATTGGCCTATTCACCCTCCTCTAGGCATTTTGAGTCATCCTGCAGGTATTTTCATCTTGTGTGGCCGTGATGAAGCCCTCCCCAATCCACCAGTAAATTAGAGGCCTTTTCTTTATCACCGACTCCTCAGGGAAGATTGAGAAAGAGAGGAAGCAGAGCCTCAACTCGGTGCTCTCAAGATGTTCGTAACTCCTCCTCAGATTAGCCATGGCACGGCTTTCGTAAATTCCTTTCTCCAAGCCCATTTGTGACAACTCTTTTGATAGCTTCTTAGCTGCTGCTAGACTCGACTCCGGCTGAGACCGATGCGTAAACTCTAAACTGCGTTCAGGGTAACTCGGTAACTTCACTAAAGAGATTGAGGCTTTTATTTGGTCGGTGATTGCCTCCAGGCTGTTGAAAGGATTGCTCTCATCATCTCCCAAGAACAACTTGTCAACTAGACGTTCTAAGATAGTGAATTGGCTGAACAGAGTGTGCTCCCAGAGCGTAACTCTAGGTAGCAATTTTAAGTCTTCCATTTGTTGAAGCTTATCTTCAATCTTTTTGAAGCGACTCAGAACCACCTCCTGATCCTCGCCTGGCTTTATGTGTGCAATGGCCTTGGCTTTGGTTTTTCCCAGACGATCCAATAACTTGGGCAGGAACTTCTCTGCATTTCTTGAGGTTGAGGCTGAGGTTGAGGTGACATTTCTCATTTCAGATGCAATTACACTGAAAAGGAGGTAGCCTGTTGCAGATAGATTGAGGGTAGATGTGGAACTCAAGAGATTGATGCAATCAAACCTATCATGTCTGCCTCTTTATTATTCAAGTGATATCTGTTTATCTATTTGTTGCAGATTAGTGAGTCCTCTAGAACTAACTTACCATTCATTTTCCTTTTCAAAAAACAAATAAGATAATAGAATTTAAAACAATCACCGTAAGATCATCTTTTTTAAAGAAAAAAGATAATATATATTATTCCACACTTAAACTTTTAAACAATTATCTGATGTTGGTCAATCTTTTGTTTCGAGGAGGAACTCCTCCTCAGTTTTAAGGAGGCAAGCTTTTTCCAACATAGTGTTGATTTGTAATCTAGTGAAACGACATGGTAAACCCAAACCTGCAAATTTTGGTAAATGAACGTGTAGCTTCAGAAATTGCTACCTCTATTGGAATCGCCAAAATTAATTAATAAAAAGAAACAAATTTTTTTACTTTTACTCTTGAAGATGCTCTTAGCTGACAATCACAGTTCAAAAGGCAAATAAAACAAATAAAAAAAGAAAAGAAGAAAAGAAAAAGCTCATTATACTCCCTGGTAGTCCTGGAAGCAAAGAACAATGGCAAAAGAAATATATATAATTCCCCACTCTTTTCAAACAATTATTCAATGTCAATTATTCTTAATCTCAATGAGCATAAAGAAGATGGTGTGCGAAGGACCAGCAGGGTAACATGTCAAAAGATATGTTTTATTTAAGAATTGTAATATTTGTTGAGAATGTTTGTCCGACATTAAAAAGTTAAGAGATCAAACGTGAGTTTATATGGAGTTGGGCTACTCCCCCATTACCAATTGGTTTTGAGGTGGAACCTCAACTTCCTTCATTGTATCAAAGCAAGGCTTCATATGTTGGGCCCTACGGCCACTTGTGCTCCCACATCACTCAATATATGTTGTCTATGTGTTAGGCTTGAAAGTCCACCACACATGCAGGGCTTGTTGAGACAAAAAAAATTTGTTATTGATAGATTCTTATTTATCCCTACAGGCATCACATATGCTCGTTGGTAGTACCGGAAGCAAAGACAAAAGGAAAGGAGAAGAGAAAAGAAAAAGCTCATTACATATATTCCTTGGTAGTCCTTGAAGCAAAGACAAAAGAAAAGGAGAAAAGAAAAGGCTCATTACATATACTCCTTGGTAGTCCTGGAAGCAAAGAACAATGATAAAAGAAAAATATATATGATTCCCCATTCTAATAATGTGACAGTTTCTTATTCACCGATATAAGTCTGATAATACACAAGCTTCGTCATTTTTGTATAATTATAATACTAGTTAAACGTGCTTGTCAAAATCAGGTCCTTAAGTTTTTCATCCTATTTGGACCTTTTTATTATGTCACATTTGAGACAACATGGTAAACGTAAACCTGCCAATTTTGCG